TTATTGAATATAATTTTAATTTTTAGTTATAACCAACCGACTAAAATTTTTAAAAAAAATATTTTAATTTTATATAACAAAATATATATTAGGAAGTTCAATATTATGTTTTTTATAAAATGAATTTAAATATAATTTTATATAAAAAGATATACTAAAAACAAGAAATACAACAATATATCATAGAACCATGATAAATTTATTCATGCAATAATTAAATCCTATTATATTCAAAACAAAAAACAAAAATTTAATCAACGTTTCAAATCAATGCTACTACTAATGAAAAAATGCAAATATGTTTTCAAAAGAAAATATGAAAATTTTGTTTCTAGATTTATTTTCAACAAAATTTTTATGAAATTAGAAAAGTTATTAAAGATCCTATATAGTATACAAATATAATATATAAAAAAAAATATATACTTTTATGTAAAATAAAACAAAATTCTATTTTTGAGATAAGAAACTAAATATTCAATTTTTATACTTGTATTATTAAATATAGGAATATGTTAAAATTAAAAGAATGTATATTTATTTACCTTACAATATTATCATATTACAAATAAAAATATGTAATGTAAAAAAATTAAAGAAAAAACACTAAAAATAAATTACATATTAAGGTGAATAAAAATAAATAAAACTATAATAAGAAGCTTGATATTTTTTAAAATTAATTTTTCCATTCTATTCATGTCAATTTAATATTTAGTCAATTTTATATTAATTATTTACTTGTGTTTTAATTTATATTACTTTATAACTTTATCACAGTACTGTTTCGTTTTCTAGTTCATCTACGTAAATTTCTTATTATAACCAAATGCTTTCAGAAATCTCTTTAACCTGCTATTCTTTGCCTTCCACTCTTCTGATTCTTCCAAATGATATAGAAAAAATTTCTACATTTGGAACTTTTGTTTCTTGTAAACCTTTTTTTGCTTCATTTTTTAGATTATTTTTCGTTAACAATAATCTAATACGATAATTCTATAGTATAAATTGGAAATAAGTTAAAATTTTTTGTTAGTATATACATAATTTTAATTTAAACAAATAAATATGAAAAAAAAAATATATAAATACTTTATAATTGTTATTTTATTTTACTTTATAAAGGAATATAAAGAACAATAAGATCCGAATAACATAACAGTATATTAGGAATGGATTATTTTAACACTAGGTATTTATATTAATGGAAACTATGGATATTAGAGCATACCTTAGAATTTGAATACAATAAAATAATTCAAAATAGCTTAGATGATTGTATAAAAAGACCAATAGATAACCACACTGATCTTCCTAGTTACATAATTCTGTTTTTTAACAAACCACTAGAGGAACATAAAAACTCTTATGTTACTCCATCTTGTCAAGTAATAGCTGATGTAGCGCAAGAATTGAGTAATATTCTAAGAGATATAGTTTAGAGAAATTGTTTTCTATTTACTATAAAACAAGACAGTTATATATACCAGAAAAATATAGGAATAAATTAATGTACTGATTTCCTAGAAGTAAATTTGCTAAATAGGGTAGAGTCAATAAGACATTAAAGAAAATTCAACGATCTTTTGGATGTCCAAATATTATTCGTGATATTGATGAATATGTTAAAATTTCTCTAATTTGTTATACGATGTTCAATAAAAAGATTAAACCAAAAAATAACCAGTCACTATCAAAACTAAATCTGTTATGGTTTTATTAGTTTTTGGATCTTAAATATGAGTAGGAGAAGAATATTTTATACAAGTAGCAAAAAATAACTATTCAAAGTTTATAATTAATGTTATTAAAAGAGAACCCACTATTAGTGAAAAAATTTTTATGATGAAAAATAGTGAGATTTCTTATGTGGATGTCCTACAAGAATTCTTATTGATAGTTATTCTTTTTACATGAGTCAAAAATTTCAAAAATATTCTTAAAGAAAAATGAAAATAAAATTGTATGAAACAAGTACTAATTATCCTTAAGGAAATGACACTAATGGAATTTCTCATAATAGTCTCTGTTATATATATAAGACCATATATGAAGAAAAATATACACTTACTAAAAAAATAGTGAAACATGAAGTATTGGTCTACAGATGATATTAGAGACTTCTTTTGCATAATATTTAGATAAATAAATAAAATAAAAATACTCCATTGTGTTCTTTCTAAATCGCAGAGACTATATGTAATTATAAAAGAGACTCTAAAATAGTTATTCAAAAATATGTACGTTAAAAAAAAAAAAATTTGAATAAATAATAATAATTTTAATTTTTTTTTTTTTTTGTCTATATATCTACAATTTTAAAAAAAAGATACATCAAATATATTTTTGGTACATTATGATGATTTAAAAAAAATAATATACTATGACAATAAATTTTTTTTAATTTTTTTTTTAAAAAAATGATAATTTAAAAAAAAAATTTTAGGTATTTTTTTTTTGGGGAGGGAGAATTGAATGTATGTGCAAATTATGATAGAGAGTATATTTTAATCCATTTAAGAGATTTTAAAATTTTAAAATTTAATTAAATAAAAATCAAACTAAATGGAATTTACCCTGTATGCTCTTTATTAATTTGTTTATTTGATACTAGCAAAGCCATTGAACAGGCAATTAATAAATAATGCATTGACATATAATTATACTCCTCATGAAACCTTTGGAGGGACACCACTTTTTATTATGTTCGAAATGGATTATATATATCTTGATTTTCAAGATTATTACCTGAAAATACTTCAAAAATGGGAACAGTTTATTTAAATAACAGATGAGTACAAGGGCATGAAGATTTTAATATATTGAAGAATAAAGATTAACATCAATTAAGGATATTAATGTTGGTAATATTATTTCATACGAATTATCATATTATGAAAGGAATAAGTTGAAACATTATAGTTGCAACAATCATTTTAACCTTATTGGTTTTTACTATGTATAGTAATTAAAATTGAAAATGGAAGATTAATAATTGAACCAATGTACTATGGATATAAAGATATTAAAACTCGACTTTTTAAAATTAAAATATTAGGTAACAAAACTGGAAAGGTATACGAGACTCAATTAAAAAATTTGATAGAAGTTATTGAAAAGAATAAAAAAAATTGGAACTTCTATGTGAATTGAAATCTAAAGCTTATTAATATATTTATAAAATAGATATTATAACACCATATAGTTAAATGATGATGAAAACAATAATATAAAAGAAACAAAAAGATCTTGATATTGTAAAATAAGTACGAGAGAATAAAATAATGTCATTGTTTTTATCAAGATAGTGGATTATGGCCTATGAATAGAATTATCAACTTGTATTAAATAATATTTAAATAAACTAAATATGTAAAAACATTTTTATTTTTGTATCTTAAAATGCTAAGAAAATGTTTACACATGAGCACCTACATTAAAAAAAATAATTATATAAAAAGTATGTACACTGAAAAAAAAAAATACATTTATTAAATATAAATACATTAAAAAAGAAAAAAATATTTTTTCTAAAAGAAAATACTCTAAAAAAAATGTAGATATATTTTAATATATTTTTTTTTGGAGAACGATAATGTATAGTACTTTTTTTTTATGAAGGATTAAAAATGTAATGTAAAATACGATATACCTATAATATTGTGTAAATAAACAACAGCAGTAGTTAACTATTGCAATTAATATTTGATATTAATAAAAGTCAATAATTTTAATTATATTTTAGTTTAATAAAAATAAAATAGATAAAGTTTTCTCTAAATGTTCTTTATTAATTTGTTTTTTCATTACTAGCAAATTCACTAAACAATAAGTCTCAATTATAAAAAAATATATGTATATTTTCTTTTTTGTATGTGATACTTCTTATAAATAACAAATAAATTTTATGAAAATTATTTTGTTTCTTTTAAAAAAAAAAAGTAACGCAAAAGTTTTCTTTTACTAGTAAGGCTATGTAAAGAATTTTTTTTTATGAAATATTAAAAATGTAATGCTAAATAAGATATACATGGATTAATTAGTAAATTGAATAAAATAGTATTTAGATAATGTAATTAACATTTGACATTAATAAATATACATAATTTTCCTAATATTTTATCTTAAAACCAAATAAGTAGAATTTTCTCTACTTGTTCCTTATTAATTTGTTTGTTCAATACCAATAAAGTCACTTAACGAGCGAATAATGAATCAAATATCTATATATTATTGTATTAGGATAATACACCTTGTTTTTCTGTAAAGGTTTAATTTCATATGAGATCATCAGTTTATTCATTAAATGACTATTTGGTGACTTTGAATAAGCATTAAAATGATAAATTAAGAACATGAAGAGTGAATCTGAACTTTATAAAAAAAAAAAATATATTTTTTTTATAAGTAAACAAACCTTATATAAATAGTTTATATAACAGAATGTTAGTTCAAGTGGTATTTATTTAATCTTATAAAACCATTTTTTATTCATTAAGACATAAATTCTTGTTACAAAAATCTTTATCACATATAGAATAATCTTTTTTAAAATAAAATAATAATATACCTTATTGTTTTTCATATTATTTCCAAAAATACATAAATATTAACTATAAAAAAAAAATACAATATTTTTATTTTCTTATTAAAATTTAATTGAACTTAATTTTTTAAAAAAAAGTTTTTATTTTCTATTTACACATTTTATTAACTATGTATAACTAGTTTTTCATAAAACTATTTCATCATAAAAGTTTAATTTTTTTAATAGTATGTTGTTAATAAAAAAAACTATAGTAAAAATTAAAACAAAAATAAATTTATTTCTGTTTTTATTGAATAATATTAATTTTAATTTAAATTTTTGATTTTTCCTAGCCATACTGATTATTTTGCTTGCTGCTTCTATTTTTTTACAAATCAAAATTTTACTTTATTTATTTCACATAATAGAATTTTACATTTTTTTTATTTTAATGTAATAAAACATAATAGTTTTATCTACGTAAACTATAAAATCTCCTCCAAAATATTGATTCCAATTCATGTCTCAATTTACCCCACAGAAAAAATGCATTATCTGTAAATCCTTTAAACTCTCTGCGTGTACATGATCCACCACTAACCAAAGAACTTAATTCCTGATGAAGTTTTTGAATTAATTTATTCATTGCATCAGTGGTTTCTTTAGTAATGGTAGACCACATTTTGTCTGCTGCAGCACCTGGTACTCCATAAGATTGTGCTTCTTTATTTAGTTTATCCAATAAAGTTTTAAGATTATCATGCAATTTCTTTTCTTCTTGCGATTGAATATCATTCAAAATTGATAAAGCCTTTTCCGAACTTATGTTTTCATCCATGTTTTCATTATCTTCATTATCATCCAAGAATCTTCCAATAAATTCATCAAAACTTTCTTCATTAGCATTTCTCCCATCATTTGATGCAGCTAATTTCCTTGAAATACTGTATTTGAAATTAAATTCTGAACTTACATTACCTTGGGAATTACATTTATCCTACAAAATTATTTAAAATTTAAACATAGAAAAAAAAATAATAAAGGTCTTTGAATTTTTTTTAAAGTAAATAATTATAAAAAAATAAGGGGTATATATTATTAAGTTTATCATTTTATCTTACGTGATGAGTGAAAAAAAATAAACAAAGAAAGGATAAAACATAAATTTTACAAAACATAAAATTTCGGTTACTTTTATTTTTAAAAACGTAGTTTTCACCTTCAAGTGAACTTACGGAAAAACATTTCATTATTGTAGGATCAATTGCTGATTGCTTTGGTAATATAACATTTATCATCTTACTATATTCTATACTTAAATACTATATTATTAAATTAAAATGTAAATCCTTTTAAAATATATTTCTTATATACTAGGGAATAAAATGTGAAACAATATATCTATTTTAGTGTGCAATTAATTTTTTAATTTAAAACAAATTTAAGAATTACTAAACATTAATATCATAAATAAGGTGATTAAAATAAAAAAAAAAAAAGTATTTAATATATAAATTTAATGAATACATGAGCTTTTTTCAAGAAATATTTTTTAATATTTAATTGATTTATTTTATTTTTCCAGAAAATGTGGCTTCTATTTAGCTATATATACTTATGTTTTTAGTAGAATATTTAACATTAGAAAAAAAAAGAAAAAGTTAATTATTTTAGTCATACATAAAATATAAAATATAAAATAAAAAAAATTTTTTTTCAAATTATTTTGCTATTTAATTAATTAAAATATCGAAAAAAAAAATTGCAAGTAAAATATCCTTTATAAACTAGGTTTTAATTTTAGTATTCTTAAATTCATTAATAATATATATTACTTTAAAGATATAAATCAAATGGACTATTTCAACAATTATATTAAAAAATATTTCAATAAATAAAAGTAAAGAATTTATAAATGTATTTTTCATATTGAATTTTTTTTTTTTCTATATTACATTTTAAAATTTTTTAATTTAATATATAAATATTAATCTAATGTTGAATTTAATGAATTTGTTTTTCATATGATTATGTTTTTTTTGTGATTATTAATTTTTGATATGGCCATTTTACATGTTTTTTGCAGTAATGTGCATGATACAGATTATGACATTCCTTTTGTTATTCAACATGTAATTAAAAATTATTTTAATGTGTTATATATATATTTTTAGTTACCATTTAACTCTTGCATGTCCAAATACATACTAATGAAAATAGAAATACATTATTAAAACAATGCTTCTCAGTAGAGCATGTATTAGAAAAAAAAAAAGAGAAATGGACAAATAAAATTAAAGCAAAGAATTAAATGTAAATTAAAATATTAAATTGATATTAGTATTTTGTCTTTTTTCATTATTTTTATATATTAATTGTATTCTGAAAAATTTTAGCATTAAGTAAATATTATAATTATGATTATGTATAATACTTTCTTAATTTCAGTTACATTATCAACACTTTTGTTATAAATGACTCAATTTTATGTAATTAAAATAAACAAAATTTGGATTATTAATTAACCGTCCAATAATTATAAAAGATTGTGAAACAAATATACTAATAAAGAAAACATACAGGAACCCTCTAATTTTTTTAATTGTTGCAAATATTTATTCATATTATTAGTGAAAGATATTTAGGCCTAAGGCTTGCATAACATCATATTTTATGTATTAAAAATATTTATTCAATAAAAAAACCTCATTATTATTAAAACTTACGTTCTTTTTATAAAATTCTTTATTTATAAAATAATTTTTTTTTAATTATATAACAATTTACAATAGAATTGCTCACAATTTTTTCAAAAATAAATAAAATTTAAATATTAACAAATAATTCTTGTTTTAATGATACTTTGAATTAAATTTACTTGTTTTATATTAATTGGATTAATAAAAATTTCATTAAATTCAAAGTAAAACACTTATTTTTTAAATTTTAAATAAAATTAAGAGGAACAATTTACGAAAAGAAAATTTTTTTTTTCGTATTTTGTTAAAACGAAGTTTTAAAAATATAATTAATAAAAACAAATAATAAAAAAAAAAATAAAAAATTTTCTTTTGTAATAAATATTAAAAACATAATAAAAACAATTTATTCAAAGAAAAAGATATTGTTTTCGTAGTTATCAATTTTTTTAAATATTAACCGTAGATAAATAACTTGTTAATATACTTATGATTTGCTAATTATAATTTCATAAAGAATTAATATAATTTATTGATCATTTATATATAAAATTTTTAATATAGCTATGTTAACTGAACATTTTTACAGTTTTTAACTTGTCAATTATTAATATGCTTTTACTTAACAGAGTTTTTCCATATTTTTATTAATGCGTAAATAATTCATGAACAGCCTAAATAAAAATTCATTGCATAAATTTATATATTACTATAAAAAAAAAAAGAAATTTTATTTTTTATTATTTTTACTTATATGTTAATATCCTTTTTTTTGAATTATTTTTCATTTTTTTTTACGCGAAGAGTGACAGGAAGGAATATCAATCATTAAAAAATTTTGTTTGAGAAATAATTTTTTTTACAAATGTATAAAAATATATATTATATGGAATTGCAAATTCATAGAAGACAAATATTATTTTATATACAATAAAAGTTTTAATAAAAATAGGGATAATTTTTTATGAAATTCTATAACTAACATTTATAAAACATTGGATGTTATGAATGATAAAAATGTTAACATATTTATATTTATAGGATTATTGATGTTATATTAAATTAGTAGTTTATTTTTTATTGTATAATAATTTAAAATATAAGTATTTGTTACAAGATTTTTTTTTTTTTATATACAAAATTTATAGAGATTACTCAATAATATATATGAGCGCGGTTGATTAATGTACAGAAGTATTTCAACAGACAATTATTAAATGAAAATCCTATTTAATAAAAATATATACCACAAATATCTGTTTTTTACAATAATAAAAAGAAACGTTATTTCTTGTTATAAAAGTACATAATAACAGTTGAGGCTGAATTATTTAGCTTTACATATTTCTATAATTGTATACATTAAAACATTACCTATAACTACAATTATCTTTGCACATAATATCATAGAGAATTTTTTAATAGAAAAAAAAAAAAAATACTTATATGATTATATAAAAGTCAGGAAAAATATGAAATAATATAAGAAGAAAACAAAGAAAATAAAAAAAATTTTACTTTTATAACACTCTATCTTATGTACAAGAAGTCATAAATTTACATAATTAAAATAGAATCAATCGCAAATATGATAAATTTTTGGAATTGAATTTTTTACACAGAACTATTAAAGTAATAGTTTTAAAAAAAAAATTTAGAGAATTAAAATTGCATAGTAGAAATCTTATGCTAACTTACAAATATTATTTGATAATTTTTGTTTATATTATATATGTTTTTTTATATTTCCTATTTAGTGTTTAAATTATTAGCATATCAATTTTAAAATCATTATTTTTTTTTATTTTATATCCCTTATATAAAAAAAATAAAGAATGGTATTATAAAAATAATAATAAAGATAACATTGCGTGATTCTTTTTCTACGTCGTTTATCTAAAATTTATAAAAATTTTAATTTAATGTATTTAAAAAATAGTTTTGTTTTCTTTTGAATTAAAATGGTTAAATTTTTTTAATTCATTTAGTTTCTTAAAAGAATTTTATGTATGTTTAATAGATTTAGTTTTAAATGTATGGGAAATTAAAGTCTTATTTTAAAAAGAAAATGTCATTAAAAAATTTGAATTAGCATAATATAATGTGAATATATTTTCTTTTTATTACAATATTGCACCATTTTAATTTTCCTAAAAATTATATTATTTTTTTTTTCTACTTACATTTTAATAAAATTATATTTTATTATTGATTTAAAGTTAATAATTTATATTCATTTCTTTTAATGTTTAAAAAAGTTTTATTTGTGAACATAAGTTTGAAAAATCATAAATAAAGAAATAGTTTTATATGAAAAAATATTTAGAAATAACACATGAACTTACTAAATTTAAAAAGATTGATGATTATTTCTCTCTTTGTTATTATATCTCCCAAACTTTGGATAAAATTTTTGTTGAACAAAACATTATATCGAAACAAAAATTTAATGGAAAATTTGTTTTTTCATTGATTTTTTCTTAAAATTATGTTTAAAATCTTATTAATGTCTCATTTTTTGGCAGATATCATGAAATTATATTTTTTTTATTATTTGTTTTTGCAAATGAATATTATAATATTTAAGAAGAATGCAAAATACATAATGCATCTAAATACACTACCAAATTTAAAAAATTTTAATAATTTTCTAAAATAATTTTATAAAAGAAAAGAAGAGATATAAAAACTTAAATAATAGGGAATGTTATGGAACTTATAATATCACTATAATAACATCCATTTAAATTTAAAGATATTAATTATTATATACAAAAAGAAATGAAAAGAAAATAAAAGAATAAATTATTTATATATCTGCAAAATAGAAAGACATTTATAAAATATTTTTATGCCATTATGTAATGAAATAATTTTTCTTTTAATTTTTTAATTATATATCTTTAATATATCATTTTATTTTGAAACCAATTTTTTTTTCATTAGAGAGAAAATTATAGGAAAAAGAAAATTCTATTGTATTTAATGAAAAAATCTTTTGTTATATGACTTATTGAATATTCATTGAACTTGTTTGAGTTTTGAAAAAAAAAAAAGATTTATAAAGAGCATATAAAGTTGCCTCTATTAATTTAATAAATTTAAGTGTAATTTCAAATGATATAAACCAGTGCACTACATTTATAAGGTTTATATCATTGAGCACCTATTATTTTTATAAGGTATTTATTTACTTTATTAAAAATCCTAAATTTCTATTAAAAAATTTAAATTCTCATTAATTATCAATTTTTATTACATATATTTTATTTATAATGTTATGAGTAATGTTTAGCAATTCCAACACATTGCAATCAAATTAACAAATATGCATAATTAAAATCAAAATAAATTATGTAAATAGCACAAACCAAGAAAATTTTACTATTGTTTATATAAAATTTTCTTATATAAATTTAAAGAAAAAAAAGTACTACAAGAAACTTTTTGTTTACATCTCTTCTTTTTAATTTTCCAACAATTAAATTATTTTAAAAAAAAATATATATTTTTTTTTATACATTTGTAATTTATAAAAAGAAAATAAAAAAATTAACAATTTTTTTTTTTTTTTGTCTAGTGATTGAATGTCTAACTAC